CAGGCAGGTGGCGGCCCTGCCGGAGCCGCAGAGGAGGGCGCTGCTGAGGGCCGTGCTGGTGTTCAGGCAGGGCCTGGGCTGCCTCCACCGGCTGCACATCGCCTGGTTCTACATCCACGGCGCCTTCTACCACCTGGCCAAGAGGCTCACCGGAGTCACCTACGTAAGTGCGGGTGCCGCCGCCCCGGCTTGCTCCGGGTTCGCCTGCGTAGGGTCGGCTCTTCAGGGCCTCTGGGCTAGCAGTCATGGGGCTGGGCCCAAACCCTCCACTGGGTTTTGTTGGTTCCCATTTTGCTAAAAACAAAACACAAAACAAAAAACAACCAAGGAAGTTTAGTTTCCACAAACCCTGAGGGTAGGGCAAGTCTGCCTCGGGCCACACCTGGTGCAGGTCCTGCGCCTGCTCCTTCCTCAGAGCACAGGCCTGTGGCCACACCTCCCAGGCTGCCCTGATGGTGGGTCACGTGTAGGTGTGTCTCCTGACGTACGTGAGCCCCAATGCTGACAGCACCCCGCTAGTCTTCCCTAGTCTTTGCCGCCCGCTCTGCTGGAGGACACTTCACACCCTCCTGTCCCAGTTCCCTGCCCCAGTCACCTAGAAGCCGCCCTGGGACCTGCCTGCCCACCAGAGGGTCTCCGGCCCCCTCTCCTGGCTGCTCCCAGCACTGTGCTCCCTGTGAGGAAGCCCCCCCTCCCCCTGCCCCTCTTCACCTCCCTCAGCGCATGGTCCCGGGCGCCGGTGCCTCCCCGTGGTCCAGTCTCATCCCCACGGGCTCCTCTGTGTTGCTGAGCTGCTGTCACTAAGGAGCCTGGAAACGCGAGGCGAGGCTCAGAGGGCTTTTCCCTCCGCTGGGCCCCGGGCTGCCCTGGGCTCTTCTCTGCCAGGCACCAGGCCCGGCCGGTCTGCTGACGGCCACCTCCGTTCCCCGCCAAGGGAAGGGAGGCGGGCAGTGGACATGGCCAGAAGCTGCCCCGTCACTGGCTGCAGGAGGGGCCGGCTGGCACAGTCAGCCAGTGGCGTAGTGGCCTGATCCTGCCCCACACGGTGGTTGGCAGCAGCTGCCACGGGAGCTGCTCCTCCCCGCTGGGTGCTCTTCCTCTGGCTTCTTTGCTGGTTCCTTTCCTCTCGGTGTTGGGGTCCCTGGATGTCCCCCCCCCAAGTGTGCAGCCAGAGTGGTCAGCACACTTCTCGCTCCTCGCTGCTCTGCTGGGACGAGGCCCTGAGCTGTCCAGCAGCGTCCCTGACTGCCCCCCACCTGTGCTCAGGCCCTGGAGGTGCCCCTGCCCTCCTCACTCACCTGAGGCCCATGCCATCCGTTCTCCATTCCCGTGCACCGAGGGGGCAGGGCTGGGCCTCATTTGACAGGACACTCGAGTGCAGGCAGGGCTGCCTCCAGGCGGTCCAGTCTGTGTGCCGGTCATGACTGTCCCCTGGGGTCCCTGACAGCTCCGCCTCCACCGCCCGCCTGCAGAGGACCTGCGGGCCCGGGCCAGCTACCGGCTGCTGGGCCTGGTCTCCCTGCTGCACCTGGCGCTGTCCCTGAGCCTGCAGCTC